GGCTGCTGCAGCTGCAGCTGCAGGTGAGGCCAAATCCCCTTCTATCTTTTTACCAATTTTTCCCGTTCGAAGATAAATATGTTTCTCGGATCGTCTTTTAGTGGATGGGGTAGTGCATGTTTCTGTGAAACACATAGAAATGTATGATTTTTTCGAAAGGTTAAAGAGGACACTCTACGCTTTCTTCCTTTCTGTCCTTATCGGAAAATTATCTTTTTGTGGGTAAATATATTTTTTTGCGTTATCCGCCAGTATATGACGTTTCTCGAAGTAAATAATCTAGAGATAAATATATCGATCCCTATCTATAGATCTCTAATCAACGTGGAGTGAGAAAAAGGTAAGAAACGGGCATGGGTGAATCAACAGCATGTTTACCAACTTTCAGATACTTGACCACTTCCACTGCAGGACCTTTAACACTTAGCCAACCGAATAGGGAGATCTCCCCTCTGTAAAGTACATCGCTACGTGATCGAACGGGGAGATCTCTCTTTTTGATCTTTGGAACGTGTTTTCTTGTTTTGTTGTTATTATTAGTTATCGTTTAACTGGAATTGTCCCCAATTAAATGCGTCATTTTCTTTGCTTTTATAAAGTACAGTATATAATAGAATACACCAGTGATGTTAGTACATTTAGTGATGTTAAAATTAATTAGAAAGTTACACTATCAGTTATGTCAGTCATTGTAAAAAAATATTAAAATGCATTATGAATTTCTAATTTCACGTTCAAGTCGTGTTATTTATCTTCGGACATCTTTAATGTTTTTAATTTTTCCTATATTTTTTATACTTTTAATATATACTTTCAATTTGATGTCTTGCATAAACAATATGTAAAATCGTTAAACAAAATTATCACCGTAAAATATAATTGACCACTTAATTAATTTTTAGATTTCTTTGTTTTTTAAATAGTGAACATTAATTCTAAATACTTGGAAAAATGCTCGGTGGAAATAGCATATAGCTCGCTGTGGCACGCGCGGTTAAGCGTGCTGTGGCAAAGTGTTAAAATGATTGTGATTGTATAATTTTATGCTGACTGTACAAGTTGGGTTTGGGAACAACGTTTCTGAAAAACCCGCTGGTAAACTGGTAAACCCGCTTTTGAAGTGAATCAATGTCTCTTCATACCGCGGTCTATTTTATCCTAATCGCGTTAGCGCGCCGTTTGTTTGTTTTTCTTGTCTGACTTGTCTCGCTGTATAGATTATAACGTAGCGATTCAAGGAAAAAATTTAAGCAGCTACCTTAAATTCCTTTTCGTCGTTTTTATCACTTTTTGTTCTTAATATGAAATATATTTTGAATTGTTAATGTGACATCGTAGTATGTAATGACTAGTAGTTAAAAGTGGTATGCATATTTTCTTATTTTCTATCGTTTTCGTCGATTAATACTTAAAATTTTTAATTAATAGTTTTTCGTAATGTTGTAATTCTTACACAAGCTACGTATGAGTTTAATGAAAGTTTCATTTCAAGTGAAAGAAATTGTATCACGAATATTGATAAACAAATACTTCATAACAGGACTGTTAAAACTTGAATATACTTTGATAAAGTGGAATGAAAATTCATAATGCGTTAAGGCGGAAATTAATCTTATGTAAATAACTGATACCACAGACGGAACACGATTTCGGAGTATTTATAAATGCCACGTTAATAATCAACGTGTGCAACAAACTTATTTACTTACGTTAATAATCAGCGTGTATAACGAACTTATTTACTTGTAATTTACTATTTAATGAACATATAAATTTATCAATTACGCTTTGGTTGTTGATGCATCGGTTGTAAACAAATACCAAAATCAGAGCAGAAAACGATTCCTTAAACTGTCATCCTTACACATTCCGTTTCTTATCATATTTAGCACATTCCGTTTCTAAAAATGTTAATTTTTGTTTCCACGAATCTATATCCGCAATAATACTTTACGAACTATTAGTTTCACCATGAAACATTTGTTAATAAAAATAGGCTAGAAATAGCAGAGTTTAGCTCTAGGTACATTCTTTTAATGTTTTTTTATTAAATTCAATTGCTAGAGACCGCTCTACTATTATCTTAAATAAAACACAAAAAATAGTCATCGAATAATCAAGCATCATGTACATATAACAGAGAATCTACACAAATGCTCGCGTTCGAACTTAACTGTGCGTAATTGGAAGTAAAGGGGAAAGTAAAAAGCTTGCCGTTTGTCGAATTTATCGTGTGCAGTACCGGCGCGGAGCTTTGCCCCGATTCCGCGAATTAGCAACGTTACAACCGACCCGCTCGTTTTTCTTTTTCGGTTAATTCTCCGGCGGATTGCGTGGCGGAATAAATCATTCCAGTAATCGGATATTTATTTGCAAACCGGTGACCGCCATTTAGTTAAGCCGTGCAAATCTTTCGGTGCTCGATGCGTGAATTGGCGCCACATCGCGTTCGTTGAACGCGTCGTACCTCGCCTGACATCGAGAATATTTTCCGAAAAGTCACCGCCGTTAATTTCGTTTATTCGAGCCATACAAAAGTGACCATTGTAAATTCGAAAAGGGAAAGTTTTTTTTCAGAGATATTTTGTACTCTCTTGGATCGCGTTTTTAACATTACGACCAGAACAATCAGAATTAATTAAACTAAACCAAAATATCAAAGTAAAATCAACTCGACTATTCGTCAATTTTTCCACTCGATCGATAATTTTTCCACATGATCGATGTTGAATTCTTAAAAAAAAGAAAGTATTATCAAATGTATAAATGAATAATCCAAATTTTTCAGTGAAACTCAAGGTATATCTAACAGAATGTACAGAAAGTTATTCGATCAAAATGTTCGTCGTTGTCTTCTATTACTTTCAACCATCTTTCAGACAAGTGATGAATTCCGTCACGCAAAAATCCAATCGTCAAGTCATTTTTCTATCTCATTCGCTAATTGGAAGTAGATATATTGGATATGACGTGTTCTATCGAACCGAACGGGTAATAGTCCGAAGGAGTAATGTCTGGTGAATAAGCTAGTTGTTGCAAGATGTATTTCAACAATTTATAAACACGTTATAATTGAAATTAAAGACATAATGTCTTTTGTCGTAGAGATAGTGCATGGCCTAGCGTTGTCACGCAGCAATCCCACAGAACATTTATCTTTGTCAGTGCCATGATCATTGGACCTTGTTTAAAGACACAACATTTAGAGTTATAGAAAAGAACGACAAATAGTTTGAAAATCTTGCGGTATTTGTTTTTTAAAACGAACTTTGAGCCTAATACATATTTACTTTCATATGAGCATCTATCTTAACGAATAAATTCTAGCAAATTTAAAATAGTGTGTTGTAGTGTAAAATAATTTTTCCCCGCTTTTCAATTTATGGTGTTGATCAAATAATTTATATTTATACTTAATTGTATTTTGTACATTTTGTACATTTTTAGTTTGCCTTTATGTTCTGTTGTGTTTTTACGTTTATTTTGAAGGATCGCTGTGTCTGGATTAGATACTGATCGCTGTCATATTCTTTGATTGAACGTTCGCGATGGATTTATAAAATGGCGAGGCTTTTGGAAATTCAATTAAACTCCTAGTTTCCAAATCCGAATATGTAGTATTAATTGTTTCAAATATCTTTTCCTGTCTTATTGCTTTTATTAGTGAGCAGCATGATATTGGATTTAGCTGGTACTTCGATTCATCATTCAATCGGATTTTTAAATTAACGTAGGTAATCTTTTAAATTCATACATTTAATTAGAATTAGAAGATCCATTAACGATTTTGAACTTAAAATAACTAGAGAACTCTTTATTCACCAGATTTTTCTAATATATGTCGTATGCGTTCTAAAAAACGCTAACTTTTTCAAACATTGATCTCTCAATAAATTGTTAATCTTCTAATTCGAAATTCATTAAAAATAATATTCATCGATGCTTATCGAATAGTTCACGTATCTATAAAATTAGTTTTCAAAATTGCTTTTTATATTGTATTTTATATCATCAATAATATATATCACTTCGCAAACGAATCGATTAATAACAAATATCTTTTCTTGGAATTAAATACGAAATAGAAGTTTCGATGCAGTTTCGACAGACGAAACATATACATTTTCGAACAGCGTGGAGCGCGATTTCGGGTGGAATTTCACCCCTGTTCGGAAGCCCGGCCGACCTCCCTCGGTGACCGAGTGACATTTATCCGAATAACGAGCGTCTATATTCGCTTTGCCTGAGCATTCTCGCGCCATCTAAATCATTCACGATGTTCTGCATTCAAATTGTCGATTTTCTACTCTTTGCTCGTCGTTTATTTCGACCGGCTGTCGATTTTCTTGATCACGATTGAAGAGACGCGAAAAATCCTTCGGGCGCGTTTCGTGTCTGGTAAAAAATGGTTTTTAATTTGGCCCGACAGCGAAGTATCGGGAAATCCTTCGCAGAGGAAAGATTTGAAATTTGCGGGCAATATGGAATACGAGAATGGAAACGCTGTTGTAGAGATTTTATCGTAGACGGTATAAAAACGAATGAGATTTCCCATTTGAACGAAGAGTGCGAGTTGTTCGAATCTTTTTTCCCCGCTATTTTTCCTTTTCGTAGAAATTTGTTTTATACACCTTTGTATCGCACGAAAATTAAGATCTTCAATGGAATTTTCGAATATGCAAGAGACAGAACCAGAGTAATTATAAAAGATTGCAATTGGGGAATTGTTGTATTTCCCGCGGTTCATTCACTCATATATCGTTAAATTGGATACTGAATCAAAGAGAATTTTTGTTCACGTAATAAAGGCTTTGCATTTGATAAATTTTCCACATTTGTATTAAATTATACTAAATTATGAATTTTTTTTTTAGCGAGATGCTATATTGCAATTTCTTCTAAAATTTAAAATTCAAAAGTCGATGCTAATTAGGATTAATTACATAAAAATTGAACAGAAGTAAATTTCATTAGAGTAAAGATATTTTTAGGAAATTCATAATATTATTCTTGACATTTTAATTTCAATTCATTAATTTTGTAATTCACTAAATTATGTTACAGCAATGCCAATGGAACCAGTTGGTTTTCCCCAAATGGGTGTTGGTCTCCAAGGTGGTTTGCAGCTGGTCAGGGATCCAACTACAGGTCACCTTCTTCTTATCCATGCTGCTGGTATGTTAGATGGATAATATACATTAAATACAATGTAACAATTGACATAAGAATAATTGAGTATACGTATGAATGTTAAAAAGAGTTCAGTTTCTCGAATAATTTAATACGAGGCTTCTAACACACAAACTTGATTAGAGATCATTTGAAAAATTATAAAATTTCTAAATTCATCTAGGATTCTATTTTTTATAAAATTTAATCGATTTTGAAAACGCATAAAACCAAAAATACCAATTAAACGTCGTATCATGCTTCTTTTCCTCTAGAGAAATTGATCTTTTCCAAAAAGTTGTTATTCAACGATTAAGTTGAGTTTTTTTTTTAATAAATATAAATACTGCATTCTCAATTATTCAGAAGAAAATTTCTAATATCGAAACATAAAACTAAACAATAATCCCATGATGCACAACGTGCGTCAGGAGGATTGTTTGCTTCAAAACAAGTAATCAATCAACGCCAATGAAACATTCTAATATTATTCTAAGCATTTACGTTTACATAGCTGTTGGAACTATCTAATATTTGCTTTTATGATTTACAATATGATATATTGTTTTATGATACACAAAAAGTCTATTTAGCATTGGTAATTACTAAGGTTGCTGTGTAGTCTTTATTACACAGACATCACAGGTAGGCAGGTATCAGGTGTGACATAAAACCTATAATACGGTCACGAACAAATCCGTTATGATTGATGGTTATTATGGCTTTAGTGTGAGCAGTCTCGGTACCAAACCATACAGAGTACATTAAAAGAACAAACGCATTTTGCAGATAAATCTAACTATTTACACGACGATGTATTAAATATATTAAAACACATACAAAGTAGAAAATATATATCGTATACAATAAAGTGTACAACGGAATATTTCTCAAAAAGGAACATGAAATTTTCTGTTCGCAGAACAAATGCAACAAGCCGTAGTGTGGCCAAATTATTCGAATCACAATAACGGAAACGTCGCGCCACCGCCTCTCCTTCTTCCTCCTCCGCCGCCCTCGCTTCAACTTCTTAGCGACATTGGAGGCGCAAGGCTAGTTCTTACGGAAAGTAAAAGGAAACAACAAAGCACTCTACCTATCGTGAAAATAGAGGCGGATTGCGGCACCAGCCCTACGACCATAATCAGTAAGCGATGTGATTTTTAAAGTGAACTAATTATTTTCTAATTAAATTATTGACAGCGTTGAATGAGGAAAAAATCATCAGTAATTCTTTTCTGTTCATTGTTATTGTTATAGAATATAAACAATTCTAAAGCTGCAAGCGAGTAGATACGTGTCTATTAAAAAAATTCCAGAAAATCTTTCTACTATGAAGATAATTAAAATAGATCAATTGCTTAAACAGTAACGAAAAATACATTTTCGGATGATAATTAAAACTAAATCCTCTACTGCAAAAATACGTTTACGTGTACTACGTACAAACTATCGTACATATATAATTTCAACATTTCTTATATAAATATTCATCAAAATACTAACAGAAATACGCGTATCTAAAGGAGATCGTATTGTAATCAGTTAACAACATTCACATACAAAGATTCATCGATCGAATGGCTTGCTAGATAACATGGAAATTCTAAATCCCACAGCGTCGACAGAATCAACGAAGGCGCTGCAGACCGTAACTTCGATGACCGGAACTCTTGTACCAGATGCATCTCTGGTGACCACGTTGCATTATTACCCTCATACGCCTGCATTAGTTCAAATCAGCCAGGCCGAACCAACACACTGCAGATCTCAAGTAAGTCCTCTATTTTTTTCCTGTTTCCGCTTCTGTTCATCGCTTTTCCTCCTTCCATTTTATTCAATTCGTTTCCCTATTGTCGTTATACTCTATTGCTCTTTCCGTATCTACGACAGCATACGAAAATATTGGAACACTGATAGCAACCTTTTATGAATATATTACGTGCGTTACACGAAACATTTTGAAATTTCATTGGCTCTATAACGATATATATATATATATATATATAATGTAAATTATATATATATATGTAAGATCGTTAATCACGTGGTAATTCAGAGGATCGATTCTGAAGTCTGAAAATCGAGTTTATTATGAAAATACTTAAATGAAATACAGGAGTAAATAACAATTAATAATTAACAATTAATAACAGTAACAATTAAATAAACAGCAACCAATTAATAACAGTAAACAATAAATAACAAGTTTTGTGCAGTGTCTACCTGAAAATCGAGAATCGATTTTCAATGTATTTTCTTCTATCGATTTTCTTCTGATTTTGTCTATCTCTGATGTTGTTCTGTCTATCCGTTTGGGAAATGTGCGTCTCTCAAAATGGCTGTCCGTTACACAAAGAAAGTCGTTCTGTCCGTGAAACAAAGAATGTCCCTATCACCTTTGAACTCTCTGGGGAGTTAACACACACACGCGCACGCACACACACGAACACTCTCTCTCTCTCTCTCTCTCTCTCTCACACGCATACTCTCTCTCTCACACACACACACTCTCTCTCTCGCACTCTCTCTCTCTCTCTCTCTCTCGCACTCTCTCTCTCTCTCTCTCTCACACACACTCTCTCTCACACACACTCTCTCTCTCTCACACACACACTCTCTCTCACACACTCTCTCTCTCGCACACATTCTCACACACAAATTTTTTCTATGGTAAATGACAAAATACTTTCGTTAGCTGCTATATATTTGTCAATCGTACGTCGAATCGAGCATAGTGACAAGAGAGAAAAGCAAACGCAGAGGAGAGACGACAGTAATTATGCCAAGCTCAGGGCGCGGTCCAACCGTTCGCATAATGCGGAAACGTTGTGGCACATTGTATTAATCATGCGCAAACCTATTTGCATCGCTATCTGCATAGATATTACTAACCAGCTCGTTGTTGACCCTGCAATTTCTGGAACGCTGAACGTTTCCCGTTGGTTCGCCCGACGCGGTCTTTGGTTTGCTTTTCGCTAGTCATTTATCTGTTACCATTTCTATGCTTTTCTATTTTATTATCTTTCTTTTGAAGCGACGTTTTATTTTATATTTTGATATTTTTCGATTTTTGATGTGATTTGTATAGCGGAAGAATATGGCTATATGGCGCGCGGTATGGTCACTCGCTTACACTTACTTTACACTAATTGATAAATATTTACAATTGCACTATGTAGGTATAGTTATCAAATAATTTTAATTACGACAATTTTTTATGTATTATATTTTGGTTTTTTCCATATATTACAAAATCTTCAATTTTCTAAATGAGTTTAGAAGTTCATTTATATTATTAGTTAGCATTCAACACAATATTTCAATTTTATTTTGATTTATGAAACTCTCAACTGTAGTAGGAGATTGAATTTTTTATTAACATAATGAGCAACAATAATGGTCGAATATAGATTAAGGAAATACACAAATATTTATGTTATTTCCAATATCGTTACTAATTACGTTCCTTGCTCTGAATCTCTCGTAATTAATAATCTTCGTCGTGTATTGAAATTGCTGTTCAAAATGCGATATCGTGTACAGAATATATATCGCAGATATCGAATGTAAACATCAATATCAATTCTGTACTTAATGCAGGATAATAATAAAACATAAGAAAAAATGTATAGAATTCTCTCGTTTGATCTAACATCATAAACAACATATTTTTAATATCTACTTAAATTTTAGATAATTTACTATCTAGTATTTCTAAATTTCTCTAAATATTACTGTTTCATTTCAATGTCACAAAACATTATCTTTGTGCGAATGAAAGAGAAACCAAACAAGCTTTTTTGAATCGCTTTAATTATATATCACGTACTATTTGTTTCATATTTTGTTTATTATTTATAATTGCATCAACCGCGTGCTTGGATTATTAGCGACATAGAAGAATTGAAAGTATTTTAGGTACTTTTTAGTAGACCCTGTATCAAAATTTTGTAACCTTTAAATTCTTCTCTACAATTTGTAATAATAAACTAATTATCGAAACATTTCTTTCCCATTAGCATTATGTTTTCTGACATAATTAGAAGTAAAAGATATATTAAAAATGCTTCATACATCTATCAGAATTACTTATTCACAGGTTCAAATTATTTTTCTATACCAATTATTTTTCTATTATATCAATATAAATTATTGCAGCAGATAAATATTAAATATTGGATTAATCCTTTGCCTGCCGAATACCCCCACGGGAGGAGCCGCGAGTAAGGTTGTCATAGTTCAGACGGGCTACTATTTTTAATAAAACATAATATAAATTGTATTTATAGATTGCACCCTTATAACATGCACTTAGACTTTGAACGTCTCGACGATTTAGCGAAAATTCCCCATCATATTTCTTACGGATTATTAGCAAACAAGTGAATGATCCATTGGTACTTGAGATTCGTAATTCTCCGCTCAGAGTGTCCCCACTACCGCGCACTTCTTAGGGTTAGTCAAATTTTCGTACCTTCGTAGTCGTAGTTCGGTTAGTTTCGCTCGTGAGGTCATCGTAGCAGGAACAGAGTGCGAAGAAGTATTATACGTCTTGACAGCTCTCGCAGTGTAACAAGTGTATTTTTCACGAAGCGTACGGAAGGTAAACCAACTTTCATTTTTCTGTTGTTTATTGTCGTTCGCTGAGAAATACACGTATATCGTTCATACGCTAATGAAAGAATCTCGAGCGCGAGTGAGGCGAAGAAAATTGATAAACGCATATATATGTGTCCAGAGTCCACACGGGTAGTTTTCGTTGGTAGCATATACGCGTGCATAGCACTCAAAAGTTTAAATTGCATACTTATATCTGTGTAATACGGTTCTATTTGCAATTGTAACGATTTCAATGATCTTGAACGATTGTAGCGATCGAATGGAAACTATATCTTGCAACCTTTAAATTTTTCTCCAAAATTTATATCGAATAACTAATTATCGAAATACTTTCTTCTCGTTGGCATTATGTTATCTGATATATTTAGAAGTAAAAATTGAGTTTCAACGTTTTATATATATATCAATATTACTTAACGCACGTTGAAATTATTTCGCTATACCTACATCAATATAAATTATTGCAGCAGATAAATATTAAATATTGGATTAAACCTTTGAGTGCTGAATACCCCCCGCGGAAGGAGTCCGCGAGTAAGGTTGTCATAGTTGAGACGGGCTACTATTTTTGATAAAACGTAATATAAATTGCATTTATAGATTGCACTCTTATAACATGCATTTAGACTTTGAACGTCTCGACGATTTAGCGAAAATTCCCCATCATATTTCTTACGGATTATTAGCAAACAAGTGAATGATCCATTGGTACTTGAGATTCGTAATTCTCCGCCCAGAGTGTCCCCACTACCGCGCACTTCTTAGGGTTAGTCAAATTTTCGTACCTTCGTAGTCGTAGTTCGGTTAGTTTCGCTCGTGAGGTCATCGTAGCAGGAACAGAGTGCGAAGAAGTATTATACGTCTTGACAGCTCTCGCAGTGTAACAAGTGTATTTTTCACGAAGCGTACGGAAGGTAAACCAACTTTCATTTTTCTGTTGTTTATTGTCGTTCGCTGAGAAATACACGTATATCGTTCATACGCTAATGAAAGAATCTCGAGCGCGAGTGAGGCGAAGAAAATTGATAAACGCATATATATGTGTCCAGAGTCCACACGGGTAGTTTTCGTTGGTAGCATATACGCGTGCATAGCACTCAAAAGTTTAAATTGCATACTTATATCTGTGTAATACGGTTCTATTTGCAATTGTAACGATTTCAATGATCTTGAACGATTGTAGCGATCGAATAGAAACTATATCTTGTAACCTCTAAATTTTTCTCCAAAATTTATATCGAATAACTAATTATCGAAATACTTTCTTCTCGTTGGCATTATGTTATCTGATATATTTAGAAGTAAAAATTGAGTTTCAACGTTTTATATATATATCAATATTACTTAACGCACGTTGAAATTATTTCGCTATACCTACATCAATATAAATTATTGCAGCAGATAAATATTAAATATTGGATTAAACCTTTGAGTGCTGAATACCCCCCGCGGAAGGAGTCCGCGAGTAAGGTTGTCATAGTTGAGACGGGCTACTATTTTTGATAAAATGTAATATAAATTGCATTATAGATTGCACTCTTATAACATGCATTTAGACTTTGAACGTCTCGACGATTTAGCGAAAATTCCCCATCATATTTCTTACGGATTATTAGCAAACAAGTGAATGATCCATTGGTACTTGAGATTCGTAATTCTCCGCCCAGAGTGTCCCCACTACCGCGCACTTCTTAGGGTTAGTCAAATTTTCGTACCTTCGTAGTCGTAGTTCGGTTAGTTTCGCTCGTGAGGTCATCGTAGCAGGAACAGAGTGCGAAGAAGTATTATACGTCTTGACAGCTCTCGCAGTGTAACAAGTGTATTTTTCACGAAGCGTACGGAAGGTAAACCAACTTTCATTTTTCTGTTGTTTATTGTCGTTCGCTGAGAAATACACGTATATCGTTCATACGCTAATGAAAGAATCTCGAGCGCGAGTGAGGCGAAGAAAATTGATAAACGCATATATATGTGTCCAGAGTCCACACGGGTAGTTTTCGTTGGTAGCATATACGCGTGCATAGCACTCAAAAGTTTAAATTGCATACTTATATCTGTGTAATACGGTTCTATTTGCAATTGTAACGATTTCAATGATCTTGAACGATTGTAGCGATCGAATGGAAACTATATCTTGCAACCTTTAAATTTTTCTCCAAAATTTATATCGAATAACTAATTATCGAAATACTTTCTTCTCGTTGGCATTATGTTATCTGATATATTTAGAAGTAAAAATTGAGTTTCAACGTTTTATATATATATCAATATTACTTAACGCACGTTGAAATTATTTCGCTATACCTACATCAATATAAATTATTGCAGCAGATAAATATTAAATATTGGATTAAACCTTTGAGTGCTGAATACCCCCCGCGGAAGGAGTCCGCGAGTAAGGTTGTCATAGTTGAGACGGGCTACTATTTTTGATAAAATGTAATATAAATTGCATTATAGATTGCACTCTTATAACATGCATTTAGACTTTGAACGTCTCGACGATTTAGCGAAAATTCCCCATCATATTTCTTACGGATTATTAGCAAACAAGTGAATGATCCATTGGTACTTGAGATTCGTAATTCTCCGCCCAGAGTGTCCCCACTACCGCGCACTTCTTAGGGTTAGTCAAATTTTCGTACCTTCGTAGTCGTAGTTCGGTTAGTTTCGCTCGTGAGGTCATCGTAGCAGGAACAGAGTGCGAAGAAGTATTATACGTCTTGACAGCTCTCGCAGTGTAACAAGTGTATTTTTCACGAAGCGTACGGAAGGTAAACCAACTTTCATTTTTCTGTTGTTTATTGTCGTTCGCTGAGAAATACACGTATATCGTTCATACGCTAATGAAAGAATCTCGAGCGCGAGTGAGGCGAAGAAAATTGATAAACGCATATATATGTGTCCAGAGTCCACACGGGTAGTTTTCGTTGGTAGCATATACGCGTGCATAGCACTCAAAAGTTTAAATTGCATACTTATATCTGTGTAATACGGTTCTATTTGCAATTGTAACGATTTCAATGATCTTGAACGATTGTAGCGATCGAATGGAAACTATATCTTGCAACCTTTAAATTTTTCTCCAAAATTTATATCGAATAACTAATTATCGAAATACTTTCTTCTCGTTGGCATTATGTTATCTGATATATTTAATATACTTTTATATATACATACATACATTCATATATATATATATATATATATATATATATATATATATATATATGTATACGTTTATCAATTTTCTCCTCTTATTGTCTTCTATGTGTCCTTAGTCTATACGCATAGTCTTCGCTCGGTGCGTCCATAGCACTCAAAGGGTTAGATTGCATAGTTATATCTGTGTGATACGGTTCTGTTTGCAATTGTAACGATTTCAATGATCTTGATTGATTGTAGCAATCGAATAGAAACTATATCAAACCAGTAATAAATTTCAGAAAATTCTATATTTTGAGTTATCAAATCTCGACCATTTCATGTAACGCTTTGCATTCGAAACGACGCTATAAACTTTCGCTTTCGGTTCTTTCTATTATAATATCGCATCGCATTGCGGCAAATTGTAACAAAGTTGGACAAAGCATTTTTGAAACAATCAAACCGATCGCTCGGACAAGAGGCGAAACCTTCGTTGAATATATTTGATTATCGTGTGCTTAACCTGTGCGTATTCAACGTTGAGAAACGATATTGATATTTTATTAGCATTCCCTATTCGTTTGGATACCAGAAAGAAAATGTGAAAGCGAATAACGTTATTCTTTACGTTTGTTTTTATTATTCTTATTTTTCTTGATTTAAAAATACACTGTTTTTTTTAGTAAAATTACGTAGAAGATATCATTAATATTTCTTTTCTAGCATTCATATAGTTTGATTAATCAGTGTAATTATAAATCATAATCATTTAATGGTCTCACTTCATTGCTGTTCTTTGTAGAATGGTACTATGGCATCAATTTTTATATGTTTTATATATCTTATAGCGTAGAGTTTATTTATAATATACACATATTGAATATTTCGAATAATAAAATCACGGGTATTACATTTCATTATGTATTATAGATTTTTTTTAATAACAGTAACTTTATTTGCATAATTTTTCCAAGTATAGTAAAACATTTCCAAATTGATATTTTGCATAACATGAAATCACAAAAATCTATAATTTTGAAAGTCTATCAGAAAATTTCATAAGTATGGAAATAACTATATCAAATAATTTTCTAACATATTAATATCGCCTCGGATATGCATTAAACTTCTTATTACGCTTACAAATACAAGCAAAACGATGTCATTTTATATTCATATTAACTCTCCTCGCGCAAATGTCTCGAAAACATGAAATTATTAGTGCATTGCCTAATATTTACAAACGTATATAATTTCCATTATAATGGTCAAGAAATATACATTTAATCAGTGCCGCATACTACGTTCAAATATCAATTCAATCAACGATCCCTAAAGATTCAAATGGCGGTTGAAAACCCCCGAAGTAGTCAATTCGAGGCTGTTGTCCGGAATTGTTGACCCAGTTCGATTTCCCAGCTTGGTCCAACTTTGCCAAAATTCGCCGTTTCCTAACTCACCAATATTTGATCCTGGAATATCCTGCGCGTTGCAGCGAAATTCGTTTCTGTCGAAGGCGACCTCACCGGTCTCGTGTCTGACGCCGCCGCCAGAGGTGACGACGATCCACGCGATCGAGCCAGCTGAAGTGGCGCCGATAGTAGGCGTACAAGACGCGTCGAATCAGACGGACGCACCGGAATCCGAGGATCAGGAGCAATCTTTGATCGAGGCATCCGTTAAACAGGAACAAAGTTTGAGTCCCTGTCAACTACAGAATTCTGCCAACCTAACCACTACCACTACCAACTTGACGAATTTGACCAACTTCGAGATCGTGGCTGCCTCGCCGGAGAAGGTGTGCAACGTTGTTCGAATAACCACCACAACAACAACCGTAAATCCAGCGGTCTGTAGCATAGTGGGTAAAGTGGATAAAGCGGAAAATACTGTTATCAACATGGCAGATTGTCCGAAATATTCTATCACGAAGGAGTGTAGAAGCGTCACGTCGATCGATAGAACGATCGAACACGTGGTTACACGGCAGATTGATAGGGAACATGATGATAGAAATCACATGGAGGAGGAAGGCGAGCAACAGTTTGCCGAGGATAGGATATCATGCCGAGATGTGAGAACTGGTTCGCGAATTATTGAAATAACCGAAGAAAATTGCGATAGTTTTCATGAGAATTTGGAATTCTTCGGAAGAAGACGAGATCATTCCTTGGATAGACTCAGAGACAGGAAGAAGAATTACGCTCAGGAAACTGCGGGTTCTGAACAGGAAAAAGAGCCAGATACGAAGGTTACCGATGAAAAGAGCGAGGTAAGAATCAATTTTCTGTTTCTTGTTTTTCGACGTTAGGCGTTAGTTGTTAATTGTAAGATGTTAATTTGTCGCGAATTTTTTTTTAGAGATCGAGAAGTTTCGCGTTGTAACATCTTGTTTTTCTTTATGAGGAGTAATATATTTAATTATAATGATAATTCACGTTTAATATGAAATTTTATGCTGCGAGTGTTATTTGATTTTCGTTATCGTTGATTTATTAGAAGAGTGGCATAATTAAGAAAACCATATTTTTCGGGAAATTTTTTTTTATAGAAAATTTTGTTTATAGAAAGTAAAAGATGATCAATTATATAATTATTTAGTAATGAATAATTTTCTTCTTTTTCTTCTGCGCTTTACTTTGTTTTAGATTAATAATATTTTCAATAATATTTTACATTATTGAATGATTTTCAGCTTTCGAGGATCACTAACAAAATATTATTTGTATACGCATATGTGACGTATTTCTTGTTAGATATAAAGTAAAAACAATAATATAGAATAATACATTATACCTGAAAATTGAAGGTTTTTAACATGTCATTTGTTTAGTAATTCGATTATATGTTATTATATTAACGAAACAGTGACATCGACATATAGAGAAACATCTTTCGTTTCTTGTATAAAATATCGCGTGATAGTCAGTCGACGCTCGATATCGATAAAAAAGAAAAGTATAAAATTTTTTGATTATTAGATGAAGAAAATTAATGTGCAAAATAATGTTACTTGTTAATATATATAATACGATAGTCAACTCTCGATATTAATGAAAAAAAAATGGAAAGAGTAACTTTTTTATACCACACTGTTTAGCTTATATGAACATATAACGCTTATAAAAGATAAAATTGATTATTTCATAACTATCATTGAACTTAAATAAGAAATATCTTATGAGACCATGAGTCTCTCAACGTTACTCTTTATGAAAAGAATAAACCAAATGCAATGTAATTATTAACACTTAGCCAACCGCTCGCGCTACAGCGAGTTATACGTTTCCACCGCGCTCGGACATGCCAACCCATACGCTGTCCAGCGCACATTTTTCCAAATATCGAGGATTAATTTTCACTATTTAAAAAACAAAGAAGTTTAAAAATGATTTAAGTGGTCAATTATATTTTGCGGTGATAATTTTGTTTAGTGATTTTAGATATTGTTTATGCAAAACATCAAATTGATAGTATATATTAAAAGTATAAAAAATATAGGTAGAATTAAAAACATTAAAGATGACTAAAGATAAATAATACGATTTGAACTTGAAATTAAAAATTCATAATGCATTTTAATATTTTTTCCATTGTGATATCGTTCGAATAACTGATAGTGCATCTTTTTAATTAAGTTTAACACCACTAAATTGGTTATTAAAAAAAAAAAATGCGTTGCTAAAGTCAGAAAAGGAAGTCTCCCCGTTCGGTCACGCAGCGATGTATTTCGCAGAAGGAAAATCTCCCTATTCGGTTGGCTAAGTGTTAAAATCATTCGATTTCATCGACCGATAAGAAATTATAAAGTATCAATTTTACACAACTTTCAATAACAATCACGTTACATTTTACAGGCCGAATTACCTAAACCAGGGGAAATGTCGGCGACTGAGTTGCACAAACATGCAAATTCTTCGGTCGAAACGCCAGAAATCAATCAAATTCCAAAACTATCGGAGGATCCGAAAGAATCAAAAGTGGAGATCGATCCGAATTACGAAAGTTGTGAGAAGAGCAGGGACGAGCGATCGCAGGCAACCGTTCCGCGTCCACAGATCATTGTGAAGTCGTTCGATATGCCGAACATCGATTGTGACGAACAGGTGGTCGAACCAATCGTGATCAAACAGGAAGCAGATGAAACAATGTATGAAGATTATTCATACAGATGCGAACCAACTTCAACCACGGAAAAGCCAAAGTGCCAGGACCTGTCCAAGAGGCACATTGTTGAAAAGTCTCATCCTGGAATCGAAAACGTGGTGGAGAAGCTGAAGAAGAACGCAGCTGCAGCTTTACAAGAGATGACTCCCCAAAAAGTGGACGACTCGAAGGATAAGAACGCAGAAAATCTTCGTTCAAGGAAACATTCAGAAACAACACCGAGAAAACTAGAAAACGGTTTGAAAAAACACATTCTAAGATCCTGCGAGAACTCTCAGTTCATGGAAAAATATGAAGTGGCACGAGAACTTGAGGTATCTTTTTCGGAAAATGCTCGTTCGGCTAAAGATTCTCAGGATGTTCCTAATTACGTGACAACGACCGAACATCCTTGCGATTCTCCTACGAGTAGCAAGCATCCCCTGCCCAGAAACTACTTCCTAAACAATAATAACAACGACACGAGAAACAATAACGATAATATGAAGTTAAACGACGATAAAGAACCTGTCGTGAAAAAGGAGAATGTCTCGCCGCCCGAGGTCTGTGAAGTGGAAATGCAATGCACGAACAATAATACGGTGACGCCTAAAAAAGGAAAATTGGAACCGTTAGAAAACTCGACGGCCTTGACGTTTAATAATGAAACTCCCAAATCTAGATTAATGATTAATCCTAAACCGAGACCTATAGTTGATATTAGCGGATTGGAATTGCTGTCGAACAGTATCGAGGAGTTGGAACGCTTGAGATCAAATGGTAATAGAAAATCTGAATTAGAGAGATCGGCTATCAGGGGCAGGATAATTTTTCCTCTGGAAGAGCGCCTCAGCCACAATAACAACGAGAACAGCCCTTTGGGGGTGTTGTGTGCTTTGGCAGAGCAAAGATTTATGGAGGAAGTAGGGGATAGAACTCCCCGGAGGTCGAATCTGGAGAGTTCCGAAGAAATATCTCATGCTGGTAGACTACTGTTGAACCTGGGCAGAGCGAATGTCCCAGAAAATGAAACAAAGACATCGGAAAAGAGAAAATATGTGGAAGAAAATTCCGAAAACCTCAAGAGGCTCAAAACCGATGGCGAGTTGGAAGATGAGGAATTTAAATACGACTCGTATTCCGAAGATGATGATTTTGATAAACAGTGTGATGAAAATGAGCGAGAAAATATCGTGTCTATGGCGACTGAGAATACAAGAGGAAGCATAGATTTTTCCGAAGAAGACGATATTTGTACCGACGACGAAGAGAATGATGTATTAAAAGACGCTCCCCTTGGTACTAGTAATCCTTGCAATAATGTAAACTATGAAAGAAAAGAAGATTTTGAGGAGTATGAAAGAAAGGCATATGAACAGTATCATAGGAGTGAATCTTATAGCAGCAAGGAATCTATTGATGATAATTTATCGGATTCTGATGTTGAAATGTACGACGAAAAGATGTGTGCGGATGATAAAATGGTGGAGAACGACGAAGATTGCAAATATGAGGAGAGAAGACATATCTTGGTAGAAAATCGAGATTGTCACGATTATAGAAATTTGCAAGCGAAACTAGACGCAAAGAAGTTTATCGCTAGAAAAGGGCACATTGATAATGACGCAGACTGGCCGAATATGGATGCCATGGAACTTGACATGAGAGTCAGGTTGGCTGACATTCAAAGACAATATAGAGAAAAGCAGAAGGAATTGTCTAAATTGATCCCGAAGAAAGACGAAAAGAAGAGTCCTGGAAGACCGCGCAAGAAGAGCCATTCTTCTAAGTAAGTCAAATTTTATACTTTATTATTAAATCATTTTAAATGTATTTACGTAGATATAAATTTTGCTATTTCATATATTTATGTTAAAATGTATATGCTTAAAGTATTTTTTATAGTATATCATGTATTAAATTGAACTTTTTAAGGTAGTAAACAAGAAACATAGAATTTCCATTTCTAGCGTTGGGAAAATTTGATTTGAAAAATCATTATATATGCATGCATTTAATTATATATTTCTAGATAACAAAATTTCACAACTTCATACTTTCTCAAACGAAGTCTTATATGAAACTCTTTATAAGAGATTAATGTAAAAAGATTTTGTTTCACATTATTAACTTACTTTTTCACGTAGGATCGTTTCTTTCTCGTAACGACTAAGACAATTTTTATAGTTTGAAAAAAATATGGTTTATAAATATATATATGCAGAATAATTTTCTTACTGCAAGATTTCTTGAATAATTTAATAGAAAAAAACCTTGATTAAAATTTTAATAGAAAATCATTGAGTTACCGTAAAAACGATTAATAAACCACTATTAATAATGTTTACAGTTCCGATCACGGTCTCCTCACATCCCCACCGACGCTAGAATCGACGTCTTCACCCAACAAATCTCCATCGCAACCGTCCGATGGAGCTCCGCAGCCATTAGCTTCAGCTGTCCTAGCAATGCCAAGATGTAATGTGAATTTGGTAAAACTGGGTGAACAAAGGAGCCACATTAAATTACTGGATAGTATACCAAGTATTCCCATGCCCGTTGCACCAGTTGCTTCGCCAATCACCGTACTACCATCAAACAAATTGCCGCAAGAGGACGACGAGAAAGGCGCAGGACGGGTAAATCGAACACTAACTATGAAAAAGAAAACAACAGAAAAGACAGAAGCAGACTATTAAATAATTAAAAACTAATAAAACTTTAACAGCTTATATTTGTAATTATAATTCAAAATTTTAGAAGTGAGGGCAATTCTGTTATTTTTGACGAACTAAGATACCAAATTAAAACGCGAGAAATTGTTAAGAAAAAAGGAGAAACATTAGGAAATAAGAAAAGATTTATTTAGTGATAAAGAATAATGACGAAAAATTGCTTATCTGTAATGCTCAAATTAAAAATAGTTATAATTAATATATATATATATAATTATATAAAATAGTTATAATTAATATATATATATATATATAAGTATATATATATACTTGTATATAATACTTATATATATATATTTTGTATATAAATTTTAGTATATATATATATATATATATTGTATATAAATTTTAGTATATATATATATACATAATATTATATATCATATATATAACATATATTGATTATATTGTCATGGTAATTAAGATCTTTATTGATATATTTCATTTATGTGATACGTTTTATTAATTTCATTAATTTTAAAATTTCGAATATTTTTATGACAATTAAACATTAAGATTAGTAGGCATGAATATCTCATAATTGAAATGTATCAGTTAAGTTCAGCAGCACTAAATTGGTTAATAAAAGAAATAGAACGCGTTGCCAAGCTCAAAATGGGATATCTCCCCGATCGGTCATGTAGTAATGTATTTTAAAGCGGGGAGATCTCCCTACTCGGCTGACTAAATATTAAATATAAGAAGCTAAGGAGTCTATAACATATGTGTATAAGTAAAGAATCTTTTTCTAATAAATGTCATCAGATCTCTGACAAATGTATGCAACTTGGATATGATACATCATCTCCAGCACCTACTATCGCGAGTTCTAGTTCAGCATCGAAGAAACGGAAGGTTGGTCGACCCAGGAAGTTAATGTGCTCATCCGGAGGTGTCAGACACCTTACGGAAACGATAGTTGCTAAGAAACCTAAGAGCAAAAGTTCTTTGGTGGGCTATCTTTTGTCGAAGAATAGGCATCTTCAAACAAAAGTGAGTTTTGCTTCTAGATTTGTTTATTAAATGCTTCAGATATATGAGACACACTATATCTATAAAATATATGCAATACGGTATAGAGAAAGATATATGAATTTTGATTTTATTATATTTATCATACACAACTTATCTTATTTCATATCTTATTTCTATCTATCTTATCTCATAATACTGCAATTATAAAATAATTTCATTACGAACTATAATTTTAGAATAATATAATACGTAATTATTAGGTTGTCCAGAAAGTTCTTTTCGTTTTTTTAATAGGAGGTAAGTACAAAATATATTTCCTACTCTTCTGAAATAATGTATGGTCCTTTCTCTTCTACCATCTTTTGTCATCTCTCCGGAAGTCTCATAATGCCATTTTTCCAAAATTCTCTTGGCTTACTTTTAAAATATTCTTCGAGGCCGTTTTTCACTTCGTTTACTGATTTGAATCTTCTATTGCGAAGAAAATTCTTTAGGGAGAGAAACAAATAATAGTCCGATGATGCAAGATCTGGAGAGTATGGAGGGTGTGATAAAACATCCTAATCAAACTCTAGAAGTTTCGTTCGCACCGCTAAAGAAACATGTGACCTCGCGTTATCGTGGTGGAACACGACATCACTTCAACACGTTTTGTGATAACGGCTTCCTTAAGTTTTTCGAATTGGGTGCAGTATTTTTCACTGTTGATCGTTTGCTCTTTCGGAAGTAATTCGTAGTAGAGGATACCCTTCCAGTCTTAGCAAATTAAAAGCAGCACCTTCTTCGGGTGAAATCCAGGTCTTGCTACCGTTGGAGAACGCTTATGTCGATTCGACCAAGATCGCTTGCGCGCAGTGTCGTCGTAGAGAATCTAACTTTCATCTCCAGTAATTAACTTCTTTAAAAATGGCTCTCTTTTGTCGCGTTGAATTAACAAATCGCATGTCGAGATTCGATTCAGGAGATTGCTCTCCGTCAGTTCCTGGGGGCCCACACTTCGTAGCGATCAACGTACCAAAGCTTTGTTAAATGCTCATGAATCGTTGTTCACGGAATGTTTAAAGCATCTGCTATTTCACAAATACTAAACCTTGGGTTTTCATCGAGGTAGGTCTTGATAAGGTCATTATCAGTGGTGGATGGACATTCGCTGCAATCTTCATCTTTCAGATAAAAATTTTCGGCTCTAAACCTTCTAAATTCCAAATTGTTTGAACAGTTGTAGACCGATCACCATAAACGTCATAAATCTCCTTTGCAGCGTGTTTAGGCGTACTGTCTTTTGTAACATGTTGACTGCCATGACACCTGTATTCGGGTGACAGCAAAGTTTTCGGTAGCGCCGCATCACCCGTATTCGGGTGGCGCTTATTTGACTACTTACGAAGGGTCGTCGTAGGTATTTGAAAAGATATTCCAGAGGAAATAATAAAACTATTGAATTGTTGTAAAAGTAATACGAAAATGGTTTACAATGTGCGATGTTCGTTCTTGGTAGAAAAGTTTCTCTGCAAGCTGTAGACATACATTGTGTGCGATGAGAATACCTAACAGAGAAAGCTTGGTACTGCGGCACGCGTGGCCTGAAAGAGGTTTCATTGAAAACACGCGTGGCAGTCAAAGCAGTGAAACATAACATGACGAAAATGCATCTTTTAGTCTTCCATCTTTCACCACGCAAAAGACACTCAATACACTTTCTACTAACATCGAGAACTGTTCTCTTGCCTCACCAGAGGACTAATAAAACTAATGACCACACGATTGACGGTAGAGTGGTTTGTTTACTTAAGCAGAACGAGGTAAGGCACTGAGAGGCGAACGCGAAAGAACTTTCCGGACGACCTAATATTATATTTTCTAATATATAATTATTTTGTTATCACACATGAGGCATAATTTCATTTTATTTGTATAAACAGTATGTGGGAAAAACTGGTTATACTCCACTACCGTTCAAGACTGGGCTATCTTCCATAAAATCTTCTTCCAAGAGTCACAAATCGACAAAATCAAAGCCGAAACCAGCGAAACAAACTCCTTTACACAATAAGAATGTGATCAGCTCCATTATCGCGGAAAAGGCAAAATTAAGTCAAGAAGTGAAATTGGATAAACAAAGCAAGATGAAGCCGAAATTGAAAGCTGAAGCGAAGGTGAAGACGTGGGAAGATGACGAAACCAGCAGTATTACTGAAAATATATTGCCAGAAACCATCGCGGAGGAACCAGTGAAGGTAACGTAAAGAAAAAGATTTAATTATCAAACTATTCAACATTAGACATTAATAGAAAAAAAAGAAAGAGAAAAAGAATTACCCCCTCCCAAAAATTGATCTTATAGATATACGAATACAATTTCAGAGTACGTAAATAGGATATTTTTTGAGGGTTAATAATTGAGATAAAGTTATACAGAACTTATATGTAAAATTTTTTAGAGAAAGTAGTATAATTAATATATCTTCCACCATTCACCGCTTCTTCAAGAAATACAAATTCCACTATAATCAAACGCCATTCCTACCGAGGTGATATGTCGTGATAGGGTCGGAAGGAAAACTCAGATTTATCG